GATTCAAGTGTTTGAAGCTAATTTGAATCAGTACTAACAAAATATTTGATTTGGATGATATATTGTGGATGTGATAGCTGGTAAACACACATTCATACAGTAGGTGTTAATACTATAGTAGGCATAACAGTTTTTAACTTACACCTGATATACCGTATTAATTGACCTTTTCCCATCATCATGACCAGCATGAGATATTGAAATTAAAATGTTGCACCTGGGTGTTGTATAATAACATGGTGTTGTACAATAATGTTGAACCTCTATACTTTCTCACATTAACCTGATAACAATAACATAATATGGTGTGGTGGCAAATAGCACTAAGTTGTAAATTTTATAATCGTAAATTTTATTACCTCAGCCCCAACCATATATGTGGCATAGACCCTCCATCTGTCAGAGTTCCTCCCTGGACCCCCTCTATTTCAAAATTCTTGGATCTGCCATTGGTGCTACTGAGATCTGTTGTATCTTAGCCTTCAATCATTGGTTCAAATAAGATCAAAAGACAAATGTCTTGTACCCTAAAGTTCTTTATTCTCTATGAGCTGGTTAGTACTTCAACTATGGGAGCCTTCCCATTTTTATCCGGGACGGACAGCTACACTGTGCTACTTTTTTAGTTAAAACACAGTATAGCGACAACATGGAGACTATATGGAAAACCCACGTTTTGTGTTTCGGCCTTTGGCTAATGGTTTCCTCTTTGACACTATTTTTTGTGTCGAATTTTTAATAAATAAATGCAGTAAATAAGTAAAAAGCATAACAAAATTGAGATTAGAAAAATTGAAATCATTTAAATAATAATTTAAATTTATATATAGTGCCAATTCTCGGCTACAGATACTCTTAAAACAAATCTAAATTTAATCTGTTATTTTATCTTTTAAACTATTTGTTATTGTATTTATTAAATTGAATTACATGAATTGGCATTCATTTACAGGTTTTTACATCATAAAGCCAAAAACCGGCAAACCGCATGTCCTGAATTTTCCTCCAAACTTTGTTTTGGATTTTGAAATTAGATTTGTTTGATGAATTGCATATTACTTTACCTTAAACAGTATCTCGCATATTCAGCCTTCAAATTGCAGCAATTTTTGTAGCAGTCGCAAATCACATCAGGCTCTTGTGCACCACCAGGATTATAGAAATGATTACATATCCAGGTAGATGTTAATTGAGTCAGTAATTTCGCCTTGATGAGTTAGCTAGATTTACATGCTTATACTCGACACATCAGACATTCTTATTGAATAAAAATAGCATAAAATTACACATATGATTAATGCATTTGTGCCATTCTGTGCAATTACAGATCCAGAAATTTAAAATAGAGGAGCCACAGAAAGTCAATTTTATAGGTGGAGTGTCCAGACCACCTCAGCCCCACCAAAGTTGGGGCTAAGGTACAAAATGTTATAGCATGGAACTTCTAGATGGGTAGAAATGGCACTCTCAGACAAAAAATACGATCCACATTTTTATAAATCTGAAATTGAATAGTGGAGCTGCATTTGTGTTTCATAGCCTTTCGATCCAATGGCTTGGAAAACAATTTGAAGAACACAGAGGCCTTACTTGGCATGATGTAAAACTGGCTATGTAAAACCAGAATGTTGTTAGTTGGAGAGAAAAAGCAAAAAATGTGAAGAAAATAGTGTCATCCATTTTGAAATGTATACTTTAAATTCAAAATCTAAATACCTATGCTATTAAATGGCTGCTCCTTGATTGCATCTGTGTGCCTATGTCTGTGTGCACAGCTGCCTACAGTATGTTTTCAGGTGTGTGCAGGTGTTTATCCATGCAGGTATCTATGTATGCAGGTATCCATATGAACAGGTGTCTATGTGTGCAGGTTTCTATGGCTACGTTCAGACTTGGAGATAAGCGAGGCCTGAGTTAAGCCGGCTCAAGGTTAAGCCCGGCTTAACTTTGGCAGGCGTTCAGACTAGCGGGATAAAGAGGCGCGAGGATTTTCAGAATAATGAATCGTAACCAGCAAACGTGTTTCAAAACATTGCTCGCGAAATGTACGCTCGCTCACAGCTTAAGTAATTGAATGCTGATTGGTCATTTTGTTACCCGAAGTCAATGCAAGACCCCCCGCAACGATTAAAGCCCGGCTTAAAAAAGTTAAACACTGGTGGCACGCCAGGCCTAGATACTATAGGAACACAGCCCGGCTTGTGATAAGCCACCTAGTTCAGACTGGCACGTGGATAAACCCTGTGAGTTGAGCCGGGTTTATCCACCTAGTCTGAAATAGGCCTATGTTTGTTGGTGTTTGTGTGCAGATGTCTATGTGGGCAGGTTTTAATGTGTGCAGCTTTCTATGGATGCATGTTTTTTTTGTGTAGATGTCTATGTGGGCAGGGTTCTTTGTGTGCATGTTTTTATGTGTGCAGGATATGCAAAAAATTACAATTTAACTTATACCTATAGACATAATTGTGGCTTTGTTCTTTAATTAAAAAAAAAAATTCTTCCACCACTGAACAAACTTTCAAAATGTTTTAAAACATAGATTTGGGTATTAAAGAAATCAAGTAAGTTTTGTTACTTTAGAAAAGGAGAAACAGATTTAAGAAAGTTAGTTTTTACTGATTTATATTTTCCAAAAATCCTTGTAAATTTATTGTGTTGTCCAAACAGATAAATGCTGTTACATGTGTATTCATGTTAATTGGCAAGGAATATATTTCCTTGAATACTACCAGTAACAGTGCTTAACAACTCCCTTATTAAAATATATAAAGTAATTAATGTATTGGATTTCGAGTTTAGATTATTCAATAATGACAGTATATAAATTATCTAAACGCAAAGAGCTAATATGCCTTCTTCACAATAATCATTATCAATAGGCTCAATTTAAGAAAATAAAGCTAAACTATTTGCTGCTTATGAAACCTTATCTGGGGGAATCGATTGTTAATTGTGTTTTTTAGCAAATTTATTGTATTGTCCATACAGAAAAATGCTGTTACATGTCACTCATGTTAATTGACAAGGAATATATTTCCTTGAATACTATCAGTAACAATGCTTAACAATTTCCTTATTAAAATATATAAAGTAATTAATTTATTGGATTTTGAGTTTAGATTCAATACTGACAGTATATATTTCATCTTAACACAAAGAGCTAATATGCTTTCTTCACTAATCATTATCAATAGACTCAATTTAAGAAAGTAAAGCTTAACTATTTGTCGTTCATGAAACCTTATCTGGGGGAATCGATTGTTAATTGTGTTTTTTAGCAAATTGATTGTGTTGTCCATACAGAAAAATGTGTTACATGTGTATTCATGTTAATTGGCAAGGAATATATTTCCTTGAATACTACCAGTAACAGTGCTTAACAACTTCCTTATTAAAATATATAAAGTAATTAATGTATTGGATTTCGAGTTTAGATCCAATACTGACAGTATATATTTCTTCTGAACGCAAAGAGCTAATATGCCTTCTTCACAATAATCATTATTGATTTATCTCAATTTGAGAAAGTAAAGCTAAACTATTTGCTGCTTATGAAACCTTATCTGGGGGAATCAATTTTTAATTGCTTTTTTTAGCAAAACGTTAATACATTATTTTTGTGTTGTTTGGTCTGCACTTAGTGTAAAAGCCAAAGGATTTTTTTTTTATATGAAGCAGCTATTCAATGCCTGTACTGGATCAATATTGTTCATACCCCAGCATACTTAGTGTGTAATTGGTTTCATTATCATGTTCTTTTGCTCCTTTCTTATTCGTTGCACTGAAGCAAAACCAATTTCAACGTATACGTCAAAGGATAAATAAAATATATCTATTGTCTCATAGAATTGGATTAACACTAATCCCCTTATGATTAAGTTTGTTATTAGTGAAAAATAACTTTTCATGCAGATAGAATAATACTGAGTTTGAAGATTAAGATATCTTTATTCAATAGATGTGGATAAGTTTCAATTATGGTACTGTGAACAGGTCATTAATACATTGATAATAGCATCCGCAGAACTAGAGCAAGTGATGATTACTAGTGCTTCAATATTGTATTTATAGGTGTTAAAATATATTGAAAACACCATGTTAAATGGCAACTTTAGCTAACTTGCCCTTATTTTAAAATCTATCTTAGCTATATTGAACCAACAAAATATAAAGACGATTATTATGATATTGTTATTGTTGTACATGAGTATATGAATGAATAGCTTAGTGGTTTAACACGCTTGCCTTCGAATCCGAGGGCCCTGGGTTCAATTCCTGGACTCTCCCAGCATTTTTTTTCTCACGACTGAAAACAGCTCTACTGATAAAGCATCACATCATTTCATTAAGAGTGCCCCTGAATATCAGCTGACATTTTAGGATATGCTGGAAGGGTAACCCCCTGTATGGAGTGGTTCGATTCCTTCAAACTGATTTTCCTGTGACCATTGGTCCTGGCAGTACTGTAGAAAATGGCTCATTTGCATGTTAAATATTGCATTAAAAAAAGCAGAAGTTTTGATGATTGCCTGTTGGTATACGGTCCCAATTTACCTTCAGGGTTTTGCATTGCAGTTGCTGTCCCAAGCGGCCCAGCCCAAAATTTCCATTTTCATGTTGCTACACGGTTTCATATTTTATCCTATATAGTACAAAAAAAAGTTACTGCTGGAAATAATAGCCTTTTCAAAGACAGTTTTTTGGTTCTACTATAACAAGTGGATGTAAGAAAGAGAAAAAAATGACCAGTTATCCTTGCCAGTCTTCACTTCTTTCAGAGACAATTTTATGTCATATTATTATCTAATCATGTATTTTTAAAAATTCAAGTTTAATGTAAGCATCAGGAGTTACATTTTAGTTTTAGTCATGAGTTAAAATCCTGCATTTGCAAGATTTGAAACCAGAATGTAGAAAAAAAATCTGCATATAGGCCTATTCACCTTCTAGACATTCCGCCATTACTAATTAATTATGTGGGTTACCACTTTTTTTTAAAGGTACTGCTTCAAGAGCAGTCATTTCCTTTTATTGTTGTTCGCCATGGATCTGCAAAGGGACGGCTTCTAAAGAAGGATAAGAAACGGATTGAAGAGCGAGAAGAACACCGAAAAGACCCTTCAAAAATGGTGAAGAGCTTGTTAAAGAAGGCAGGAATGAAAATGGGTCTCCCCGATAACCACCGACCAATCACAATTACTTGTACAGGTACCAACATTTTTTATCTCTAACCGCATGAGCATTAAAAGCACACCGAGTTAATTTCATTGTCAATACAATTTCTTTAATTCTTTACAATTTTGATCTGTTGTGTTTGTTCAAATAAAAGAATAGAGATCAGTTCATCATTTAGGTTTGATCAATTGTCTGTTGAGTCTGGCAAACAAAACTGATTGTGTACTAAAGACTCAATTAACTTGTCGTAGGTATGCTTTTAGTTTTTTTCAAGATGATAGATGATGCACTTACTTTAGTGTAGTTTTATACATTATTTTATAACTTGACTACTAATATTTATAACTGCTTTTAGTCCTAATGCTATACTTTCCAAAGACAAAAATAACATCAACTTGAATATATTTCTTCATTGAAAATACATGAAAAGCGTGACAGAGTCAAGTTTAGATTTCTTTCAATGACAAAGCACCACTCTAATTACTAGGCTTAAGTATATACTACATTTCATCTGTTTCCTTTAGTTATCTGTCTTGCAAAATAATTCCAAGGCAAAACGATATCGCTTGAAATTTTAGAGCTATTGGAACTTGCATTTTAGCCCTCTAGCACACAGACACACACAGTGTCTACCACCAATTTAGTCGACTAAGCTAAGCTGCTTATCCTGCATTTTTTTCTATAGTTTTGTATTATGGAAATCAGTTTCAAATAAGTTTGATATCTCATAGGTGATTAAGTCCATCTGCAAGTACCAGTACTAATAATAAATTTGAAATACAGACAAACAAATATGACATTTTCTAATATCCCCTTGGAACAACATGCAGTGCACTGCTATTTCAGCATTATGTAAGTTTATTAATACCTTGATTCTCAAGTGTTTGATAATAAAAATCTGACTAAGTATAGGTCACCTTTGGTAATCCCAATCTCAGTAAGTAGGTTCAAAATGGTGGATCGTTTTATAATGTCAAAGAGGCTAGTCATGTCTGCATTCATCTAATGATCCATAAAATTATTTTTATTACTCTGGAGCAAGACCACAATGCTGATTTCGAAAATGATGGTTTAGTGTGTGAGGAAGGATCTACACAAAAATATATAAAGTCGTGACAACATGCGTTCTGTCAGAAGACAGGCAAAACTAGAGAAAATCCTCAAATACTGTAGATGTCAGCAGAGAGAATCTAATTGAAACCCGTGTGGAAGGCACAAGTATTATAGTGCAGTAGAACCTCGTTTTTACGTACCCCAGTTATACGAACCCTCGTTTTTACATACGCCTCGTATCAATGATGACGTAATCAAAAATCCCGAAAATATTCAAAACAAACGGCCCTTTTAAGAGCAACCATAAGTAAAAAGACTATAACAATAAACTATAGCAATAAACAAACCATATTGCAACATATTTTCATTAAACAGCAATGTTGATTGAGTCTTAATACCGGGTTGTTATAATCTAAAACCATGTGAACTGAGTGAGATGAACAAATATACTACTGATGGTGCTCAAAATAATTGCTTTCCTCCTTAGCTTCGTGTGGAAAACTCGTCTGGTCGAATTTTCTACACGAAGCTGTGTAGGCATAGTTTCGAACACGAGCGCTAATTGGTTGGCTCGGCCAGTGCAGTGCACATGGTTTTAGTTTGTCGGCTCAACAGGCCCAGGCAACGCCAGAGCTCTGTTGTTTAGAATAGCAGCGAAGGGAAATTCCCAAGTTATACCTTTGTCGTATAGGTAATCTTACAATATTTTCATGTTCTTTAGTTAAATAAAAGATATAAAGTGATGAATTAATACACTAGACACATGGTTTTATTTAAACACTTTATTATGACGTCGTAAAGTGATGAATAAAAACACTGAACACATGGTTTTATTCGTAGGCCTAGCCTAGGTAACATCATTCGTTCATAACATAGGTTTATTGAGTGTTACATACAAGGTGTACGTATAAGGTACAAATTTAAACCCAACCTCAATTTTACGAATCCCCTGATTTACGTACGCCCTCCGTTCCCGTACCGTACGTAAAATCAAAGTTCTACTGTAGTTAAATTTTTCATTTGTTGAAAAACCAAATATGTCTTCTTAATTATCAAAACATACTTAGAACTTTTCTTTTTGTATCAATGGTAACTATAAAGAATAATACAGAAAAAATACTGCTAAAGCTAAAAAAGAACCAATTTTAGGGAGACAGTTAATAATAATAATAATAATATTCATTTGGCAAATGCAGTCTGCTAAAATTAAAAAACATGATTTGCCCAGATAGGGAATGGGCAAAAGCCAAAACAAGATTTGCTCCCTATCCTTCATAATGAAGTACAGTAAAAAAAAACCGGAAAAATTATTCAGATAAATAAAAGGACATAAAGTTCAAATAACTAAATAATTCTTAAGATAGAAAGTGTTAATTGAGTTTAGAACTAAAGGACACAGTTCTCAGAGTCTTGGTGAAACAGTATTGAAAAAAAAAAAAAAGAACATGTAAACATGACGGAGTATTGGAGACCATGCCAATTTCTGGAGGCTCCCAGGAGACTCAAGACACTAGCATTGTTCATGGGGCTTTAATAAAATACCTATGTATGGAGATAAATCAAGAAGTTTTATAGGTATTTGCACTCTAAATTGGCATGATTAATATATATGTAAATTCATCTTATAGAATTTCAATAGATCTCCATTCTAGAATGAACTTAAGTATGGTAAATAATCGTAACAGATATTAGCCACAGATCAACTAACGTCCCTGAAGTATTCCTGTTTATTAGAGGTGTTTCTGTATTATTAGTAGAGGACCTGACTAAGATTTTTATGTACTTAATTACTGCTATAGACTAATATGAACCCTAGGAACAATATGGGATGTGTGCCAAAATCTGTAGCTATATGCAAAAAGTAGAGGTTGAGCCCTTTTTTTTATTTGAAGCATTACTTTAAATATTAGGCTTGGCAATCTGAACATATGGCAAACAAGGGTTTTTCTTTTATAATTGAACACATATGATGAGGGGATAACATTTAAGAAATAAAAATGTAATCACATGTCCTGTTCATTTGCTTAAATACACAAAAATGGTGGCCATGCCTCTTTTATTTGAAGCGCTACTTTAAACAGTAGAACAGACTGAACTGATAATGAAAAAATATTGCAAACAATGACTTTTCTTTTATAAACTCAATGATAAGGGAATAAAATGTCAATAAGCAAGTTGTGGTCACATGTCTCATTTATATGCAAATTATTTTAAATATGCCAAAATAGGACCACACCCTTTTTTTATTAAAAATTTGAAGTTCTACTTTTTAAAAAAAAAGTAGGCTAGATAATCTGAAAATAGTGCAAACAAGGTTTTGCCTTTAAATGAACACATGAGAGGGGATCACATTTTAGAAATATCCCCTTAATCTCAAGTCCCATTCGGATTGTCTAGCTTACTGTTAAGGTAGCATTTTAAACAGTGATCTGTATTTTTTGCATATTTAAGCTAATTTGCATATGAATGGACATGTGACCGCGGTGTGAATTTTGGAATTTCATCTCCTCATCATATGTGTTCATTTAAAAAAAAAGTCCCTCTTGTTTTATAAAAAAACACTTGTTTGTGTATGTTCAGATTGTCTAGCCCACCGTTTAAATTATCTCTTCAAATTTAAAAAGGGGCGTGACCCTATTTTTTTTGCCATATTTAAGCTAATTTGCATGTAAATGCTGTGTGACCATGGTAAGAATTCTGCAGTTTTATCCCCTCATCACATATTTTCATTTATAAAAGATGTTCAGATTGTCTAGCCTACTGTTAAAGTAGTGCTTCCAATCAAAAAGGGGTGTGGCCCTTATTTTGCATATTTAAGCTAATTTCCATATGAATGCAACTTGTGATTAAGACGAGATTTCTGAAAATTGATCTACTCATCATATGTGTTCTTTAAAAAAAAAAACTTTTTTGAAGTATTTTCATTTTGTCTAGCCTACAGTTTAAAGTAGCACTTTCAATGAAAAATGTGGGGGGGGGGTGGTCATTTTAAGAGGGTGTGGTCATTTTTGAGCTGTTCGTACCAGATACAGGTTTGGCACACATTCCATGTTGTTCATTGATTTCAAATTAGTCTATATCAGTTGAAATATTCTCTCCTAAATTTAAAAAGTGCATACAAATCTTAGTCAGGTCCTAGACTATATGTAGTACAGGTAAAATACAGAGGATAATTTTGAGGATCTGATATATGTAGTAGATACAGAACAAAAGTGGATGAGGCTTCTGTGTCCTATAATGTGGATACATGCTCAATAGTCGTTGGCTGATGCGATTTTATAAAGAACGCAACACAAGCAGTTTGGTGTAGTGGGAACGGTTTTGTTTCCCAACCTTGAGTTTGGGGTTTCAATCCCTCGCTGTACATTTGCGCTTGTGTCCTTAAGCAAGGCAGTTTATGTGCATTGCTTCTCTCTACCCAGGAGTATAAATGGGTACCTGGTGGGGTTGCCTGCTCCTGTGCTGATTACTAGCAGCAGCAACATTTTAGCATGTGGACTCAATGACCAGGGGAAGAAGAAGCGCTTTGTATCTACAAAGAAAAGGTGCTATGTTATAAATGATATAAATGATGATAATAATGACGCATGCAACAGATCGTTTTTAATGACGATCCATTCAGACTGCCACCGACAGTCAGCAGACGTCTTCTCGTCCTCTAGCGTTCACATGGACGGAGTTGGATTTGTCCTACAACAGTCGTACGATGCAGTGAGTGGCCAGCTTAATACTGGCAATCTGAAATTTAAAATTACCCTTGTCAATTCCAGATTCCTCTTGTTAATTGTATACAGATAGGCCAAGATGTATGTATTCTTATCTCTACTTATTACCACTAAGACCATTAGGAGAAGAAATATTTTCCTTGCTACAGTAATTATCAAGGTGCATAAAGAATACCATAGGCCTACTTTCTTTGACCCCTTAAATTGGCTGGTAATCAATTTAAGGATTTTCATATTTAAGGCTATAAATCAGCA